GTGGCGCGACAATTCTGGAACAGCTTTGTTCGGCGGCGCGGCGAACCTCGACTCGCCTAGGTCTGGTGCGGAAGGGGCGGTTGCATCACTGTTTGTGCGTCTGGTTATGGAGCAGCAGGGAAGGGTTGCTAATTCGACATCGTTGATTTGCTTGTTGCACGTTTTCGACGGCGACTAGAGCTGGTTGTGAATTCATGGTACGTGTGTGTCTAATTTTTACGAGGTGATGACGGCTCAACGGTGGTCGGTCTTCGTCTGCTGGCAGCGCTCGGGTTTAAAACGGTGAAATTAGATTTTCAAAATGACTACGGTAGTCTACAGGGTCTGACGGTGTTGTGAATCAAAAGATCGGAGCTAAGGTTCAAGCGGGCGTATCTAGGGTTTCAGGATGACTATAGTTGTCTACGGATTACTACAAGTGACTATGGGTTACTACGGATGACTACGGATTACTACAAGTGGCTATGGGTTGCTATGGATGCAAGTGATATACATATATTAAGAGTGTGCTATGAAGTTGGATACATGACTCAGATGACTATAAACGATTACGTAACTATGGGTTATTATATTGTGATTCATATTCTGCATTTATCTATAAAAATCAATTAAATAGTTGTTAAGAATATGCAAAGAAAATTAAAAAAATATGAAAATATTAATTTTTAATATTATATCAGACAAATTAAAAAATACGAAAAAGAATTTTTTTTGAAAATGTTAAATGTAAAATAAAAAATGATAAATGCAATTTAAATATTACTTGGTGCAAAATTCATTTTTTGTATAGGAGGGCATTTTTGGAATGAAATTTATAAAGGATGTGAAGCAAAAGTTTAGTTTGACTTGTCATTTAGTTCAAATAAGTTTTGTTTTGGGATTTTTGTGTGTGAGAGAGAGAGAGAGAGAGAGAGAGAGAGAGAGAGAGATTTTATTGGAATTCCCACCAAGAATTTAGTCAATCCATAGAAATTCATACCAAAAGTTGACACTTGGAGGGTGCTTCCTTTTTATATATTATATATAAATTGTTGAAATAAAAAATAAATAGATTTATAAACTACAAAAATCCCAAAAGTAATTACTCAATTGTTTTTAAATTATAACTAAACTTTATGTTTATAAATTACCTTATATTTTCATCAACTATACCACATTACCACTCTTATAGAGTAATTAATTACTAATTAGTTAAAATTAGTAATTTGTTGATATCCAATTAGTTAAGTACAATTCATAGTAATTGTGTGATTAATTCGAAAGTTAAGTACCCAACTCTCTACTTACTAATTACTACAGACATTGATTGGTAGAATCTCACCGAACCTCATTAATTTGAATTAATTGAACACGGCCAAACAAAATTTGATTTTCTTTTTTTATTAAATTACTAGCATTATAAATATTTCATGTATAATAATTAAATTGTATTGAAAGATAAATTACACAATATTAAAATAATTAGTTGTGAAATTTAAATTAGGTGTCGCAAAACAATCAAGAAATCAATTTTTGTATGTGTGTGAGCTAGAGATATTTTGATTTTCTCTTCCGATCAATTATAAAAAATCCATATCGGTGTGTGCAAAAACAGACATATTTATAAAGAAATTGCAAAACTTATATTAAAAGAATAAAATTCCAAGTAAATTAAGATTTTGCTAGATGATTTTCCAAATCTAATTTGTTATGAAAATCGAAAAAAGACAAGAAGATAGGAAATGACAAAACAATAACAATCATAATTGATTTTAAAAATTTATAAATATACCATTAGGGTTTCTTATGTTGCCCCATCGTTTCTTACTTTTATACATAAAGATTTTTTCGAGTCGAGCTCGTCAAACAATTTATTCAGCATAAATTACACATCTCGTATGATTTGCAGGCTATTTTACCTTTTAGTAAAGAAAAAATAAAATAAAAATCAATAAATGACAAAAAGAAGTAGTGATTAGTGCAATCGATTAACTCCATAATTAATTAGACGATAATTACAATTAGAGAAAAACCAATTAGTCTCTCTCTCTCTCTCTCTCTCTCTCTCTCTATATATATATATATATATATATATATATATATATATATATATATATATATATATATATATATATATATAACAAAAAAGAAGCAGAATTACACGCACAACACACACTGAAATCTGTGATTACAATAATCTTTTGTAAAGCTAAAACTAACCCACCAATATTTGACGCATGTAATTATGCTCTCTCACTCCTACACAAATACATACATATATATTTCTCTCTCTACAGTCCATCCTTATATATATCTCTCTCTCTCTCTCTCTCCTCTCTCTCTCTTTCTCTCTCATAACGGGTTTGCCGTCGTCGCGGGCGCAATCTCCGTCATCGTAATATAATTTACAGGTTCGTCCGTCTCTGCTTTTTTATTTTTTATTCGGTCCTTTTTATTTGTGTTCAGACGAATAAATTATCGATGTGTGTGTTTTTGCGTGTGTGTGTGTGTGAATATATTGTGAAATTCATGTACGATTGTACTTGGAGTAGCTCTGATTTGAAATTGAAAATGTATGTTAGGTTTCATTTGTATGAATTCGATCAAGTATTTGAGCTCCATGCAATTAAATTGTTCGCGCAATTGCTTTTTAATTCTTCGCCATAATTGCTGCCATAATTTTGGTTAATTTAGTGATCCAGTGCTTCATTCTCTGTTTTTCTTTCTTTCTTTTTTTTTTTAAATTCCTAATTTTGCTTGTGTTCTTATGCTTTGTTGTTTTAGTTGTAATTGGAAATAATTTTTTATTTTCCATTGATGAAGAATTTAATACTTTTTTGGGGTTTGAATTGTTGGATTAATTGATTTTGGTGATTTCTGTAATTAACTCCGATTTCGATTTCGGGTTCTTATGACTGAATTAAACAGTTGAGTTATTTGTTTACTTTATTGGTACTTCTTGTTATTGTTTAGTTCATCAACAAGTTGTTTACCAAGTTTTATCTTAACTTATATGAGTAGCACTATTAGATTAATCAACCGGCTAACCCTAGTTAAATATTCTATTCGTTTAACCGACCTTGTCAATGTAACAGCCTTTTTGTCTGGAGATCAAAGAAGTTGCTGCCACAATAGGGATCGGCGTTTTTCTCGTCCTGTCTATTAGATTAATTCCACCTCTCGATTTGTGATGAGAATTTCTCGGTGGAATTAAATTAATGATCGTAGTTTTTCCGCAATGGGGTACTTGAACATGAACATGGAGAAGAAATGGGTGTTCCCCCTCGTAATAAGTTCGTTAGTGTTTGTTTTTCTTCTTGCCACCTCGTTCAATATGGGGCTCGTTTCCTCGTTGAACACAATCAATTCCATTTTCCCGATTTTCCGGTCTCGTGCTGTAGCAAACGAATCGGACCCTAATTTTGCCGAGGCGAAAATGAATCAAGTTCCGCCACCTCCCTCTCCGCCTCCACTTCCGAAATTTGCTTATTTGATTTCTGGTTCAAGGGGTGATTTGGAGAAGCTGTGGAGGACACTGCATGCAATGTACCATCCTTGGAATTATTATGTAGTTCATCTCGATCTTGAATCTCCATTAGAGGAGAGATTGGAGCTCGCTTCGAGGGTGGATAATCACTCTGTTTTTGCCAAAGTTGGGAATGTTTACGTGAACAACAAATCGAATATGGTTACTTATAGAGGGCCCACCATGGTTGCTAACACTCTCCACTCGTGTGCGATTCTCTTGAAGAGGCATAAAGATTGGGATTGGTTTATCAATCTTAGTGCTTCCGATTATCCTTTGGTCACTCAAGATGGTTAGTTTTTTTTTTTTTTTGTTCTTTTTCTACATATTCGTGTTTGTAAAAAAAATTCCGTTTATAAGTTTCGTTCGACCTGATTAGCTTATTCTTGCAGATCTTCTGTACACATTCTCCGATTTGAAAAGAGATTTCAATTTCATCGAACACACTAGCGACTTAGGCTGGAAAGCGTAAGTTCGTTTTGCCTTTACATGGGCTTATTTGAGATTATACATAGATATATGTGTAATGATGTATTTTTTTTTGTTATTATTACAGTACTCAAAGGGGAATGCCGTTGATAATAGATCCCGGACTCTACCAGACAACAAAGTCCGACATATTCTGGGTCAGACCTAATAGAAATTTACCAACAGCATTCAAATTGTTTACCGGTTCGTCAGTTCGTTCGTTCATGCATTTGATCCCATCACGTAGAAACATTTTCTTGATTTTTTTAAAAACTTATTAAACCCGTGACGTATTGTGCAGGTTCAGCTTGGATGATCTTATCGAGAGCATTTGTCGAGTACTGCATATGGGGTTGGGATAATCTCCCAAGAACCCTACTAATGTACTACTCGAATTTCCTATCCTCACCCGAAGGTTACTTTCAGACGGTTATATGCAACGCTCAAGAATTTGTTCCGACAGTTGTCAACCATGACATGCACTACATCTCGTGGGACAATCCACCGAAGCAACACCCGCACATACTGTCGCTCAACGACACTGATAAAATGATCGAGAGTGGGGCCGCCTTCGCTCGTAAGTTCAGACAAGACACTCCCATTTTGGATCAAATCGACAAAGATTTGCTCGGTAGGAAAAACGGGAGCTTCACACCTGGCGGTTGGTGTTCTGGCAAACCGCGTTGTACGAAGGTGAAAAACCCTACACAGCTTAGACCGGGGCCCGGTGCCGAGAGGCTTCGGAATCTTATAGGTAAGTTAGTTTCGTCGCCCGATTTCAGTCAAAGTCAATGTAGCTAGTTTTAAATTTTTATAATTCTTGATTGACTAGAGGGAAAAGAAAGGGAGAGGGGGGGTGGAAAAAAGGGGCAGAAAATTAAATAAGGCACTTGTGTTGTTGCATGTAAACATTATGCTCTAATGATTGGCCCTGTTCTATAGCTTTTTGTTTTTTTGGATATACATATATAATGGTTATAAAAGTTGAGTTTACATTTTTATTCTCTCTTGATTTGAAAAATGTGTTTGAAAACATCAAATTGCATTTTATGCCCTTCTGTTCTGCAGCAATCTTGTTGTGTCCATTTGATGCCGATTCTCCAAAAATCGAATTTGCGAAAAATACATTGGGCTTCGAGCTTGCCGTTTCTTGATACGTTGAGTCCACTCCCCGGTAGGGGGTCATCAACAACTAGTGAAAATCGGTTTACAATCGAGGATAAAATTAGGGTGAAATACTTCAAAACACATACAAGCAATATCTCGTTTAGTTTTTAAGATAATATTATATATGAGACGTCCAATAAATAACCGCAAATTACGATCACTCTCCTGATGTAAGGTCAAATTATGAAGGAAAAAAAAAACAAAAACTCTCTTTTTGGATAATTAAAACCACGCTACTTAAATATGTATTGTCTTACGGAAATCCCCTCATTCAAAAGGTAAATATACAGTAATGATGGACAAATAAGGCATTATATAAACCTCCCATGTGATAAATAAACTAGCAAAAACTCCTATGTGAAATTTAGTCAAAGGCAGAATCCCCTAGTTGACTTTCGTGTGGCTCACTCGCTGGATTTACGGCTGGTAGCTGATTTTTGGACGTGAACTGACGAAATTGTCCCTCAAAATGTGTGTATATATATATTTTTTTCTTTTTAATTTGATTGTTTAGAAATTAAAACATTATTAAAAAATATTAATTAAATTAAAAAATTACTAAAAAAAATAGTAATCAAATTAAGTATAGGTTTTTTTAAATACAAAATAAAGAAACCCATAATAATGGAATTTAAGTTTTTTTTTATATTGGGATAATTTAAAATATATACAAAAATTATCTGATAATAAAAATAGAAATAAAAGACCTCTCATTCTACTTTTTTCTGATTGAGTTATAACAAAAATAAAATAATTAAAATATTTATAAAATATAAGAATATATTAATTGCAAAACCTCGGGGAGTAGTTGTGTCGTTTAATATAAAGTCAACACTCAAATGAATAATGGGCCGAGTGTGCTATATAAATATATTCATAAGGGGGGTTTCTGCTAGTTTATTTATCATATGAGGTTTTTTGCTATTTAGAGATTACACATGAGTATTTTTTACATTTTACTCTATATAATTGAGAGATGGTTGTAATTATCCAAACTAGAGAGGGTCTTTTTGTATTTTGACCTTAGCTCATAAGACTAGCCTTAATTTGCCCAATAAATAATCCCTCAATGAACAAAAATTAGAGCCATTTTTTCTACTATTATGGGGTTGACCAACAAAAATTCAATAACATTCAATTATTTAATTAGTCATGCCTTATCTTACCAACCAAACGAGTTCAATTATTTAATTAATCGCTAAAGTGAAGAATAAAATATAATCTAACTCGGATAAATACACCATTTCCGATCGAAGATTACAAAAGTCGGGGCAAAACGGACATCTAAAAACCACAAAAACGCAGAATATACAAACGGGGAAAAAAGAAATCCAATAATAACACAACCCCTTCTTCCACAACTTCTCCTCCACCCGAATCCACCTTTATATATATATTTATCTACAATACACATTGTCGAAGGACGAATCGTCTTTGATTTTTACGCGTATCTATTACAAACTAAAGGCAAAAATTTCGTTTCACCGAGAAACCAAATAGTTTTCTACTTAAAATTTAACCCGCCAAAAGCGGTTATAAGCTTCCACGTGATCCATTTACCAAGTGAATCGTGAATATCTCCGAATATTTATATATATATATATATTTTTTTTATGAAATTAATTAAGCCATTTCCAAGAGCTTAATATTTCCCATAGAATTTGCAGCTACTAAGGTGGAAGTTTGACCGCGCCAACAAACGGACGAGATGAACTGCGCACTGTCGTCCATTTCGTCGCCGGAAAATGGATCCGTGCTATTGAACTTAAACGAAAGTGCCGGCATCGGAAAAGCTTTGTGGTAGACAAATACCTGCATTCACAAAATATCTCAAAAAATAAATCCGAGGAAACTAAAATCGTAATATCTTTTCCCGAAAAAAAAAAATCATTTTTGGAAGGAAAACATTACGATGTGGACGCACGCAATTGCACGTAGTAGGGCCATTTTGGTAATTAATGGTTTCCGATAGAACCAATTAAATAAAAAGGCTTAACTGATGGTATTTAAATATGACTATTCTTTTTTTATTTTTTTAATTGCGTCGTATATTCTTATGAGTGTTTAAGGACTTCTATTTTCAATAAATATTTAATATGGAACTTTTAACCAAAATCGACAGCTTAGAGACAACCGAAAAGTACCGATTACGATTATTAAAATTAAATAATATTATGCTAAAGAAACCACAATAGAATAAAGCATGGTGTTCGTGAAATACCTCGTTCGTTTCTGATCCCGTTGCAATATAACCTTCAGATACAGACAAGCCCACAAAATTCTAAAAAAAAAAAAAAAAAAAAAAAAACCCGAGACAAATAAGATCGGAGAGCAATTAATAAACAAATTATTATTATTATTTGGGTAAATTACAACCACCCCTGAAGGGTCAATTTACGAAAAAACCCCTCTTGTTTGGATAATTACATCTACCCCTCAACTATGATTTTTTCTTACACATCCACCCTTATGGTGTCAAATTCAACATAATCATCTAGATTTCGTGGAATGTGCTCTAGTTTGTACTCGTTTTGTGTAAAAAAATACAGTTTTTGATGCACCACAATCTGATATATACAAGCCAAAAAACACATATTATGATCATTTTGTTTCAAAATGTGGAGTTCGAATGGGATAAAACGGGTACAAAAGTGATAATATTCCATATAATCTCGAAGATTCCACTAAATTTGAAATCGTAAGGGTGGACGTGTAAGAAGTTTTATAGTTGAGGGGGTGGTTGTAAATACCAAAACAAGAGGGGGATTTTCGTAATTTGACAGTGGTTGTAATTTACCCTTATTATTTTATTAATTTTTTTTCTTCTTAAAATTACCTTGACATTCAAATGGCCAGTAAACGACTGCAAAGGAGAATCAAGAACCCTCGAAGTGCACATCGACAAATCCCAAAGCTTTATCGTATTATCGGTTGAAGCCGAAACGAGAGTCATCGAGTCAATAAACTTCACATAACTCACCGTTTTACTATGGCCCACAAGAGTACAAAGTGGCATTTTCGAGTTTCTCAAATCATAGTAATAAATCCTATGATCCGCCGAACCAAACGCAAGTGTTCGTCCAGAATCTGTCGGAAACTGGACGCAGCACACATTGGCCTTTGTCTTAATCGTGCCGACGCTTATCCCCTGCAGCAGCACCCCACCGTAAGAAAAAAAAAATGAACCGAGAAATTTAAAACCTGATTTGAATAATTAGATGCTTATTTTTTTGAAGTACGTTTTTTTTTAAGTTTTTTTCGAATATAGAATTGCCTGATTGATATTCCAGAGCTTGACTGAGCCATCGTCGCTGCCGCTAGCAAGCATTGTTGGATCGGCGACAGAGAAATCGACGGACCACACTCGTCGCTCGTGTTCTTTCATTTCTAAGAATGTTTGACTTCTTGTCACATCCCATATCTGGATAATATATCAAGAAAAAATTATAAATTATTAATATGAGAGTCAAATCATGTTTTTTGGCCGGAGATTTGAAAATATTGGATTCTATTAAAAAAAAAAAAACGAGTCGCTTGTAGGGGTGGAAATCGAGCGAATTGGAATAAGAACTTTCGGAAAATTTTGAATTTTTTTTCGGAAGTGAAAAACTAATTCCAGTTCCGTTCCAAAAAATTATGAAAATCATAATTCGGAAATTAGAATGAAAAAATGTGTTCCAAAATCGAAAACATTTGGATCAAAATCGGCGGAATTCGGAAAATTCTAATTTTTAGTGACCGAAGATATTTAATACATAATAATTTTGATATTATAAGTGCAAAAAAATTCAAAAAATCGAATAGGAAATTGAAATCTCAAATATATTTCAATTCAAATCCAAAAAAAATCGAAAAAATCGATTTTTTTCAAAATTCGAAATGAAAAAAATTGTTCCAAAATCGGAAAATTTTGAATTGCAATCGCCAGAAAATCGGAAATTCCATTCCAATTTCCAACCCTACTCACTTCCCATAAGAGAGCAAAAAAAAGGGAATTAAAAGCTTTACCTGCACTACACCTTCGAAATTACTCGACGCAATCTGGCTTTTAATGTATCCGTTCCAACATATACTACTAAGCTTCGATTTACTCGCCATTTCAACAACCGGATAATGAATATCCCTATCTTTATTCAAAATCGAATTATACTCGAAAACTTTAATTTTCTTATTCACACCGGCCGTCGCAAAAAACTCCCCATCACGATCGAAACTAAGGGAGCAAACCAAATTCGACGAGTTCAAAAGATCCCCTTGCTTCAAATCCGCCTTCACTCTCATCTTACTAAACGACAAATACTTACACAACCCTTCCAAAAACGTATTAATCCACCCCCCTCCGTTGTTTTGCTGCTGCCTGTGCTCCCTAGACGAAAGATTACTGACGGAACTTCTTTCAGTAGCTAAATTACTGACGGACTCCTCTCCCTCGGTTTCGCAATGGATCTTCGTCTCGTCGAGAAATAAGCCGACTCGAGCTTCCGGAAGTTCTTCATCAGACGGGAGCTCTTCGAGAGGCCGGCCCCGCCGCCGCCTGGCGAATCTGATTTCCGATCGGGTCCGTCCCGACCGTCGATGCAAACGCCCTGTCGGATTCTTTTTCTTGAAACGGAGTTTTCGGAGTCGTCTTCGTCGGTTGCAATGTTTGTTGAGCGCGGGCCCGATTTTTTTACGGACGTGTGGCGTTTTGTGACTTCTTCGATATCAGAAGATATGAAAGAAACTATTTCGTTTAATGTGTCGGCGGCTTCTTGTTTTTTCTGCTGCAGTGTTAGGAGAAATTCGAGGAGCAAATCCTGCTCGTCGATCTTTTCTCGAAGCTCTATGGCTGCGTCTCGTTCGTCTATTTTGTTTCTTGGTTCGTTCAGAAACTCACTTTGCAGCAAATCACTATTAAAAACAAAATCGAAACGAGTATTAAAAAAAAATTGTTACGGGAATTCAACAAGTTCTACAAATGCCGACCAAATGAAACGCGCATTCAATGGCTTCAAAGATCCGAAATCAAGAAACGTAGCACTATTTAGCAGTTCAATCTATACAAGAAATAGAATTTCTCCAAAAAAAAATTCATTTTAAATCAAACACCTAACGACAAACGACTACCTCATTTTAGGGCGTCCGCTTGGATCGGGATGCAATAGCCACAAGCAAAACGAAGCTTCTTTCGGCCACTTAAGAAGCAATTGAGGAGGTAGTACACGGTGTCTCAAGCTCGCCATTGTCGTACCTTTCTCTTCGATCGAACCGAACGTGCAAAAAAGCTGCCCACAATTAAAGAAAAAAATTCACATCACTACAAATATCCGAAGCTAAATCAATTTGAACAAAACAAACTCGTAAACACGGACCTCAAAGAGCAAGACCCCGAGTTGATAAATATCCGAAGCGCAGCAAGTGGGGCCCCCGGAAACCTCTTCGGGGCTCCTGTACCAGTTCGATTCCATGAGCAGTATCTGCTTCATCGGAAATGAGTGCTTCTTATCTTTCTCGTTTCCGACTGTTGCTTCGGAAGCCCGAACGGGTCGACCAGAACGCGAATTCAAACAATCCAATTCGCTCAACCGGTTGCCGGATTGGTGCGAGTTCGACCCGTATTCTTGAGAATCCGAACCCGAAGAATCGGAGCAAGACGCGGATTCGATAAACGAGACCCGATTGAGGGACGACATGACGAAACACGACGGGCGGATATTTTGGACTACAATACCCTGCGAATGCGCTAAGTTCACTACATCGACAATTTGCGAAAATATGTGGAGGCATTCGAGAGCATCGACCGTTCTATCCGGATTATCCAACCACTGTCTCAAACTGACGTCGTTGCATTCGACGGGGCGGTCGCCGCCCTCCACTTGAGTTCGGTGGTGGTTGCCGCCGGCGGCAGCGTGGGGGGTCGGCCGGAGGAGGGTTCTCTCCCGCCCCTTCCGAACGGAATCGTGGGAGGTGCTGTCGTTGTTGCCGGAGAATCGGGCGGTGAGAAGTCTCGGGTTCCTGTCGGAATACGGAGAATTCAAATTCAAATTCAAATTCGAATTCGAGTTCAAACCCCTTGAACTATTCTCCGACCGCCGCCGCCAATTAGACTCAGATGAACCCTCCATGGGTATCAAACTCTTGTTATTACATGAATCCCAACAAACACAGACAAGCATACGCAATTGTGTGCTGCAGCACCACTAGTAATAATTAATGAATTAATTAAAAGATTTTCAAGAATTTGTTTCTTCACCACCGCCATTCTTATGAATCAATACAACATCGTAACAAAACAAGACAAACCCTTTTCGCCCCCTTCGCCCCCCAAACACACACACACATACACACACACACTTCTATAAAGAACAGCCGCCTCTTGATTCCTGATCAAACGAACTCAGTCGAGTTAACCTTAAACTAAAGCAGAACTCACCACTCAAAAACTTGACCCAGTTAAAAAGACTCGGATCACCCAAATTAATCAAATAAAAAAAAACCCACCACAGATCATATAATTTTGAAAGAATATCTAGAGAGAGAAAGAAAGAGAAGAGCAAGCGGCACCAAATGCTAGAGAGAGAAAGTAGAGAGAGAGAGAGAGGGGACAAAAGCACAAGAACCACACAAACAGATACTGAAAACTTTTCCCTCACATCCCAACAGAAAAACAAAACACAAAACAGTGTGCTCTTCTTTTTTTTTTTTCCCCCTTAATGAAAGCACCGTAGCCTCACAAAATCCCCCCCATCCCCACAGAAATTACACCATGTAAAATACAACGGGTTTAATTTTTTTGGTTTTAATATAAGTTTTCTTTGAGAAACCCTAAAGGGATCTTCGTCTGAAAAACGGCGACGTGGCTCATCCTCCTCCTCAAGCTCGAAAAAAGCTCTGCCCTTTTTGAAAACCACAAGTGAATCAAAATCATTTCTTTTATATGGGTTTCTTTTTTTAATTAATAAAAAAAAAATTAAAAAAAAAAAATATATCCAAGATTTTATTTTTATTTTTTTCTAGTACAAATGCGGTGGCCTTGTAACGATCTTTCGATTACCGATGACTCGGTCCCGGAGAAAACCCCAAAAAGGTCAAAAAGATTTCTAATTACAGAATAATGGCCCTTTTTCACAAGCAGACAACACTCTTATTATAATATTGCTAATTGATCCCTTAAGAGTGGAATATTTATTTATTTTTTGTATATATATTTTTTAATTTGATATGAATTCGAATTTTTTGGAAATTATTTGAGTTCATCACACGTAATTAGCTTGATGTGGTTTACGTTTTTTCATATTGTTTGCCAATATTTACACAAAAACAAGCGTCAATTCATTTTTAGTAGCTATGTGTCGATTTTGGGGCGGGTTTGTCTAAACTCGAGATTCGAGCAGCGAAAAATATATAAAATGCGGATCCGTCACAACCCGTTTTAGCTTAGACTTAGACCCGTCTCAACCATACACAAATTAAACAATTCTGATTCGCCAATTACACTAAACCCGTTAAATTAAAAATTTAAAAAATTAAAAAATAATAAATAAATATAAGATTTTTAACTTTCATAATATATTGTTAGTATATTTTAACAAAGGAATCTCAAAAAAATATATAGTGATTTTTTTTTTTGATTTAAAAAAAAAATAAGTGATATAAAGTGAATAATGAAATTATGTAATTAATTATATTTAACTTTTACAATAAATAAAATTCAAACAACAAGAAGGCCAGTGGTAGTCAACAAGTGATATATACTACTTACCAGAAATGAGATTCTGAAAAATAAAACGTAGAAAAATGGACGAATAAGAATAGACATGATGAAAATTGAATCTAACATTGAATATAATATATTCATATCGTCGGATTCAATAAGATCCCGTAACCCGACCCAGAACCATCTGATTCTAAAAACTTAAACCTATTACCCGACCTAAAATCTTTCAACTTACTCAGACCCACCCAAGAGATTCTAGGTCTAAGACCGAGCAAACCCGTACACTATGCAATCCCTAACCGCAGGCGCCAGCGACGTTGTCAATAAAAAAAATATATATTGTGAATTGATTAGTGAAAGCATTCATTTTTACAATAGTTTATTATCTAATCCGAAGTTGCAAAGAGATAAGTATAATAATGATTGGTCAAGAAGTAGTTTCTTTATTGTTGACACGTCACTAAACTAATCGGTTTAATTAGGTGTGATGTCATCTCAAATTCACATTACATTATTTTAAGAAAAAAATTAGCTAAAACTCCCTAAAATAAAAATACAAACACAAACACGGTTTTTTTTTTTTTCTTGTTCCGTAAGGGATGGCCTAACGATTGAAGCAAGTAAGCATTTGTCAATTGACCCTCGTAAGTTGAAGTCGCGGTCCGTTCGTTCGTTTTTTTATAATTTGATAAGCTTGACTGTATTGCACTATATAATCGGGATTTTTAAGTTGAAAATGTAAAAACAGTAATATAAAGCAAGAATACGACTATAGTTGATTATAGTCAATTATAGTCATATGATGCCATTGTATTCACTTATAAAACAATCAAACTTTTCAAACTAATGATAAAGAAAGACTACAAGAATCACATTTGCTGAAAATAGAATAAAATTACAGAATTACATAATGCAAGTGAGAAAAAAAGGAGAGTTTCTGTAGAACTTTTTACTACCTGCCCAAACAAACCCTACTTTCTGCAGCCCCACCTATACATAAATTCTCCTCCCTCGCATATCGGAAAAAAATAAAATATCAAAGAATTGCGAATAATTTCATCGACCTGAAACGAACAATGAATTCGTCGATATTTTATTACCCTCGCTCTGCAGTTTCCGCATTCTCTCCTTGTCCATGCGGGCCCGCCTAACAGCTTCTTGAATCTGCCGATCGTGGTCCTTCAAAATCTGGTCAACTTTGCCCGATGGAACCAACAGTGGTCCGGAGTAGTGAATCTTTTTCCCTCTCGACCCTTTTCCCAGCTGTATTTTATTATAATAGTAAATAAATAAATAAATAAAAATTCATGTTAATAATGATTATGGATTTATTTATTTGAAATTTAAAGATGGATTTATATTACGGTAGGATCCACTTACATTAGCGGGATTATTATTGTGGCTTGCTCTTTCGTCTTCGTACTGCACGTTGTTCTTCTGGTCTTGACCAGTTGATGAATTCGACGAAGCCTCTTTGAACGAACCTGGAAATCTGGATATAAGCTTTGGAACTTCGTGGTGAGAGTAGGATTTCTCTCTCCGCTCTTCGGACAGCATGCTTCTCCTAGCCGCTACTAAACCAGACATGGCGGATAAATCGGAAATAGCAAGATTATTATGATTATTGTTAGGACCATCTTCCATGTTCTTTCCGGACTTTGACCAGGCGGCACGGTTGACCAAGGGCCCGGAGTGTGAGGCCCTCTTGTGGGTGTTATTTCCGTGAGGATCGTTATTTGCTTCTTCTTCGACTGATTGGGATGGTCTAGGTGGATCGATTGGAAAACCCGAAGCAGATTCTTCTGGATGAGAACTGAACATCTCACTCCTGCTCTTGGAGCTTGGCTGGCCATGCCTTTTCTGTAACCGAACCATAAAAATAATTTATAACAAAATAAGCAATAAAGAAGAGTAAATTACAAAAAGAAAAACTGAACTCAACCAAACAAAAACCCCCACAAATATCCATAATTACTAAAGAAACTCTGACTAACAGTTGACCAAATTTATTATCACTATCAGAAAATGTGTGATATCTACAATGCTCTTAAGTTAAATAAATATAAAAAAATTAATAGATATTACCAAAACCCACTAGATATGATTGAATTACCAAAAAAAAACCTCGGGTATCCATAAATAACAAACTTCAGGGGGTTTTGGTAATTATAGATACGTGAGGGTTTTTTGTTTAAATTGACCTTAGTTGAGGGGGTTTCTTGTAATTTACCCAAAAAAAAAGAGGTGGCCAAGAATTAGGAATTGATACAGTTTAGAAGATCAATTAAGTTTTTATTTGATATTATAATGGCTTAAATAAGGGCTTCGGTTGACATAGGAATAAGAGCACTACCATATGTAAACATGGTACAAAAAATTGGTTACCTGCATTGACGAGACCAATTCAGCATTGGCATCAGGTGCTGGAACTGCACGAGATTCTCTGGATCCTCTCTTATCAGGGTTGTTATACCTTTGACCTTTGCTTCCAACTGCCGCTTGTCTGAAAATTTTCACCAAAGTCGGAAAAGGCCGAACAATTAAAAGCAACACTAAAAGCTCGAAAGTTAAAACGGGATTTGGTAATGATAAGCCGAAAAGTTGTATGTGTTTATTAACTTAAGAAATTTACCTCCTTGCTTCTTCGTCCCGTACTTTAGCATCAAATTCTTTGCTGGGAGGGTACTTTGGCAAGCTTGAAGGATCACAAGGGTGTGGAGTTGTGTTGAAGAACTGTGAGAAGAGCAGAAACATTATAAAGATTCCTCTTTTTTCACGTTGTACGAAGGCAGCAATCTCAGCAGATAATAATTTTACCAATAAACGAGCGTCACTTTTTTGTTCACATCCGATAACAGTTTTTATTTTGGATTTTAAAAGGCTTGTATCATTCATTTTTTTCTAAAGGCAACAGCTGTGTTATCCAGATAATTTATTTCACCAGATTATGTGAATGAACAAGCACATTGAACCATCAGGAGGCAGAGCAATATATACATAAACTATAACATACGAATCGATGAGCATGAAAAGTCTCGTTCTAAAATAATATTATAGTAAATGATACTGTTGATAATATTTATACCTCACTAGTCAAAGCCGAGGCAGCAGATCCACGATCAATGGGGTCTATGGCAAGCAAGATCTCTATGAGTGCCAAAGCTGGTGCGGGAAACTCTTTAAATGTTTCGGCCACGCGGCGTTTGTAAGGCTGTTGGGGTTTGAATATTGTTGCATGAGGCAACTTCGATTTTCTCCAATACTCCTCCGAAGGTGATCCACATAGTTTGAAAATTTTATGCAACTGCTCAACCTACAAAAAATTGATCCCGTTGCACTTTGGAATTCAGAAAGAAATATAGAACTAAATATGTTGGAAACAAAAGTGACTAATAATTCATTTCGGCCTTGTTTGGTTGGTACGATTAGCCATGATTAATTAAATAGTTGAACCTTATTGGATGGTAGGTTAATTTCAACAACTTTCCGGGCCGGCCCGCAATTGTGGAAAAAATGGCTCTAATCTTATTTAATGTAATCCCAATTGTATTTTTGTCTTGACTCTGGGGTAATCTTACCAACCAAACTGAGGCATTAGTATTATACAATTAAAAAGTCCTTTTCTTCATAGATGATGTATGTCTCTCCTAGTAAGATCTTGAAAAATACCTAGGATTCTCTCATAGATACGTCATTCGTTGAAATTCCCCATAAGGAAAAACCATCTTCGATTAAGAAAAAATTGACAGAAAAAAAAAAAAAAAAAAAAAAAAACTAATAATAGAATACCTCTGTTCTTCCAGGCATAATAGGCTTGCCAGCATATAGTTCAGCAAGTATACAACCCGTGCTCCATAAATCCACAGCAGTACTATAATACGTTGCACCAAGTAGAAGCTCAGGCGGGCGGTACCAAAGGGTCACAACACGGCTAGTCAAAGGTTGACTCTGATGAGGGTCATACGCACTAGCCAGACCAAAGTCTGCAATCTTCAAGATTCCATTATTATCAATTAAAAGGTTTGAACCTTTTATGTCACGATGAAGGACCCCACAACTATGACAATGATCAAGTCCTTGTAGAAGCTGTTTCATGTAACACTTGACCTGCCAAAAAAATACATAAATAAATAAAATAATTTATATCCTCTTCAATAGTTAAAAAAACTAATGTAGCTACCTGAGGTTCAGTAAACTTGAGACCAGGATGAGATGCAAGTCCTGCCAAATCGTGCTCCATATACTCGAAAACGAGGTACAAGCTGCATGACATTCTTGATGTAACGAGACCTTCCAATTTGATTACATTTGGATGGTTAAGCCTGCGCAGAATATGAATTTCCCTTGCCATAAAACGAACACTTTCAGGTTCCAGGTTATCAAACCTTACTTTCTTCAAAGCAACAATTTTTCCTTCATCAAGATCTCGGGCTCGATAAACATTACTGTAAGTACCCTGACCAATCTAAAGAAATAGAAGCCACGGGAAAAAGGGTTAGAACTAATAAAACTGCCAGAAATATACCAAAATATTACTTTTCTCTAATCATAAATTTTGCTTCATGCAATAAATATTTACATATTATTTCTTGAACTCGTCATAAATAGAAGATATCCTAATAAGAGAGCAGTTTGAGAACTAAATGTGAAAAGGCAAACATATTACTACAGATCTAAGGTAACCCAACTAAATTATAAATCAACCTATATTTTCATTATTTACAAATACGAGCAATATGATATTTTCGATAAAGTGAGAAAGTGCACGAAACGGGATCATAGCCCATGGAAGTAGCTGTTTCAAAGGGGTTGGACTAAATTATTTTCAAGTTCAGTCCAACAAACTTATACCCCTTACGATATGCAAAATGTTTTACTCAACTGGTTTCATTCAGCTCATTTACTTGAACTGGTAATGCACGTAATTGCCACAAAATATCCTGCATACATGTCCATTTAGAACATCTACACGATCACTTTTACACTGTAAGTTGGATATTTGTCAGAGGAAGGACTTAGTTGTGTGAAAAAAACATTTAAGAGAAATATTAGTTCTATGCCTCCGAGTCTGCCTAAAAAAATTATAGACAACAGTGTGTCTCTTCTTCTTAGTTAACACAAATATGGTGCAGGAAAAAGGATAGTTTCTATAGTACTGCCTAAAGAATATTAAGGTAGAAAATATATAAATAGGTAAAAAAATAGAAGTTAATAGCAACTAACAGTAGCTGAGAGGGCCAGGGGTGAAGCTACTAAATTTTTATCTCCAATGTGAATTACTTCAAGGCGGAGAAAACCTCGGTTAACTGCACACCGACTCCTGCCCCAGAATGCTTTATCTTTTAGCTTGAGCATCTGGAGGTTTTCCAGCAATCCAAGGATAGACATACCAGCACAATCGAGGGAATCACCAGACAACGTTCGACTCCTCAACTTCGCCTGGATTAGTAAATGTGTCGTTCATCAGCTTCGACTTTTCAAGACTACCCAATCTCCTTGAACAATCAAAAGATCCACTTTTGGCATCCATAAGCAGCGCTAGTTTCCCAAGAATGCCCAATTTGACCAAATTGTGTGCCATGACAATAAGTGCGTCTGTGCAACTTTCAGTAGATATTGTACTTAGTGTTTGAAGCATTTCACCTTCCTTACTAGCTTTACCTGGCTTGACGAAAGTAGCGATATCTCCTAAAAGTTGGCTTGATGAAAGTAGTGATATCTCTCAAAAGATGCACAAATTCACTTGTTGTCAGGGCGAACATTTAAAGAAATTGGGAATTCGTGAGAAACTAACGCTGATTATGGATGCCAAAAGTGGATTTGTCAATACTATAAGGAAATTGGGTAGTTTTGAAAAAGTTGAAACTGATAAATGACACGTTTCCTAATCCAAGCGAATTGGGTGACCTTCCTCCATCTTATAAGTTTCCTAAGAAGTCGAGGAGTTTAACATTGTTTGGTGTTTCCCTCGATTGGACTGGTATGTCTATCCTAGGATCGTTGCTCAAGCTAAAAGATAAAGCAGGGCGGGAGTTGGGATGCAGTTAACCGAGGTTTTCTACGTCTTGAAGTAATTCACATTGGAGACACAAATTTAGAAGCCTCAGGCCATCACTTCCCTAGTCTTACACACTTAGCTACAAAACAGTGAGAATCTAGAAGGCATTCCAATCGTGTTGGCTGATATACCTAGCTTCCAAAAAGTTGACTTGTTCCGAACTGTAAAGGCAACCAATATCGAAGCGAAAATGTCCATACTCTTAAATAAAGGAGTATCATAATCATCTAACAATGAACTATTAATGTCCTAAAAGAGGAGCACGGAGTTGGAAAAGAAACACGCGACCACTCAAAAGCAGCATAAAAAAAACTGGAACCATACAATAAAAACTCAATGTTTTCCTTCACAAGACAATTGATAAATAAAAGAAATATACCTTATCCAATTTTTCAAAAGAATCCGCCCGCCTCGGCAGCCACCCTTTAATAGCTTCGCCAGCCACCGCCGCCAGCCAAGGCGGCCATCCAGCCGCCACCTGTTCACCCTCACTTGCTCGCGGAACCATCCCCGCCCTAGGGTGGTGGTGCACCACAGAAGTATACTCACCCTTCTCTCTCTTCCTATCGAAATTCTCTCCATGCAATCTAACCGAACCATTAACTTGCTTATCCATCAATATCATCCTCCCATCATAGCTACCGTTATCCGACCGATCCTTCGCCTGATAAATCTCCTCCCTCCTGGAGGAAACGGGCCGCGGGGCCCGCAAATCGGACACTGCTCTACTCGGCAGCCTCTCCACTGGACTGTCCTTACTATCATCAATGGCGTAGGGTTTACCACAAGCACAACCCATTATATTACACTCCCCCAAAAAACAAACACAATTTCGCAGCAACCACAATTTTTAATTTTTTTTTCTTTTTTTTTTATTTCAGTTCAGCAGGAACTCCTCTTCTTCCATTGCTTCACCACAATTTACACAATTCACTCCAGAAACAAAATTCGAACCAAGGCTAAACTCAACTGAAGTGAAAATGCAAAATTCCAACTCGCGCATCTTTGCAATTAAATTTATCCCCGGAGAATTCAAGCGCCCATTCAAAAATCACCTCTAAAAACTGCTTCTATTATTTTTTTTTTACCGAAAAATGCGAAAATTCAGAAGAAAAATTGTAGAGATTCCGCTAAACTGTACCTGAAAATAGATGCGTTGAGAGTGTGAGTAGTTTATTGTTTGATTCGAGTGGATCTAGGGCATGTACAAACTGTGCGCAGAGAGAGAGAGAGAGAGAAGAGGGGGTTACTGTTTTTCTTGCATTTTTCAATTAATTTTCAGAAATGAATGTCGAGTATAGATATAGATAGTGTGTGTATATATATATAGAGATAGATATATGTATATATATATATATATATATTTCCGACGGAGAGCAGGTTTTTATTGAGTTAGAGAGAGAGAGAGAGAGTAACTGAAGAAGCCAGAGGTGGAGAGTTCCGTTGGACATTCTTCTTAACAGGTTTGCTTCAAAACCACGCGCTACTGCAGGAGCGTTTCCCCCACTTGCTATATTAAATAAACTTTATTGCTATATTATACTTACGAAATTCAAGTTTTCTCAAAAAAAAAAAAAAAAAAAGAAAATTCAAGTTTCACATATGAATATATATGGTTAAAGAGAAGATAAGAATTGAGATTGTTTATGCAATATTACATTAAATCTAATTGCATTGTATACATATATTGTCATATTAACGACGTTATGCACATACACGTATATATTTTCGTAATTATATGTTATATTGAATAAAATCACTTAATGTATCTGGACAAGTATAGGATCTACGTCGTATTGAGATAATGTAAAATTGTGGGTTTATTATATACTGCACTAGTCGATTTCATCGGATTATATTAACCATACATATTTTACCATATTTATATTTCAGCGATTACAATCGGATCATGTGATCTTTACATAGGGTTTCATATATCCTTTGTTTATGGTTAGTTAACATAGATAATTATAAGCAATAATAAGATATTATTTATCTCTTACATTGATTTTTTTTTACATAGATTAATATTTTTCAATATGCATTTTGTTGAAAATTAAATAGCTTTAATTAATATATTTATCATTTACCAATACCAATTTATAAAATTTGTATAGCTCGAACTTTAATTTTTGCTTCAATAAAGTTGCAATTTTTCGAAAAAATGTAAGCACCGTGTTACATTGTATTAGATATAAGTACATCGGTGTAAAATGAGTAAAACTAATTCAATAAAAACTCGAGCTCGAGCTTTTCTATTTAAAATAGGGCTTGAATTCACTTTTAATTGTTCGAAAACTTGCTAGCTAATTACTATCAAAATATATAATATAAGTTAAATATTATAATAATAAGATTTTTAATAATAGTATTGAAATTTCCAACATTACACATAGGTTTTAAATATTAATTAGCATATATTTCTCTTTATTACAAAACTAAATAGTAATTTGTAATATATATATATATATATATATATATATATATATATATATATATATATAATGTAATATAAATTTAATGATATAGAACAAACAATTTATTTATTAGCATTTAACAAGTGTGCAACACTTCGTCTCCATCACCATTAATTAGGTATTTATCATCAATAATCAAACGGCCACCTTCACTCCACGTAGACTGGGGGTGCGTGAACTTGGAGTTTATTTTTTCAATTTAATTTATTTTTTTTATTTCAGAAAAATAGAGCTACTTTAACCCAAGTACTCAACCATGGTTAATTAGTTTAGTTTTCACAGTACTTCCATAAATATGGTTAGGTGAGATCTTTACCAACGCCTTTCCAAAGCTCATAATTTTGAGAGGGGGGGCCCCTCCCAAAAATTTTGCAACTTCTTTTATATGAAAAAAAATGTAATAAATGAAATTAAATAAATTTAATTATTTTAACAAATTACCCCTTTTAAACATGATATTTAGTTATTTATGCACTAGCAAAAATATTTAAAAATATAAAATTGCAACATTTAATCATTCAACTATCGTAAACTGATAGGCCCACGCCCAAATGACCATATCGACAAGTTCATAGAGGCACACAAACCAAGTCTAAATCGACTTAAGATAATAATATAAGCTTAAGTTAGTTAAAACTCGAACTGGTCATTATCTAAACTGTTAGGCCCAAATTAAGTGGCTTCGGTCCATGAAAATATGTCTGCATATAAATACTCGAAAACTCTACAATCAAATGTACGCAATTCATAACTCCCGAGCAGCATCTTGAATTATCTTAATTCTTTTATCGTACAAAGTTGACTTGAGCGCCGGAGGGCTTTCGCCGGCACAAATCCAGGCGCCCTAACGGCTTTTTGTGATGCATGTAGTGCACACAAGAGGGATCAAGAAGTGCGAGGGAGGAATTGCAAAATGTGACGTGGAATCGTACCACATCACAAACAAAAATATGTGTTCAAGCTAAGTTTTGTTCGTTACCATTGAAAATATTTTCCAATATTAATAATTTTATTATTTTAAAATACAAGAGAATAAAAGTATTTTCCAATATTATATTCTTATGTTATCTAAAAAAATATTAGTAAAAAATAAAAGTACTATTTAATGAGTTGAAATTCAGTTCGCACTTAGACTATAACTTTAAGGGATGTTTCTCCAATGTTTTAAAAAACCAGGGATCTACATGTAATAATATTAATCAGTTGATGTTCTATTAATTTATATAAAAATATAAAAAAAATGTACAATAGCCATTAACACTCCCCTCGATTTTTTTTTAACGCATTCGATCTTCTCGAACTTAAAATTCTGGCTCCATCAATCGTCACTTATACTAATCATAGAGGAACTTAAAATGTAATTTTTTCTTCTATCAAGGATCAAATATTAAATGTGAATTATCCAAAAAATTATATGAAAAGGAAAATAAATTCATCCCCACCACACAACAAATTAAAGCCATTAAATGCTGTCACGTGTCAATTACTACTAATGAACAGTTTATAGTAATAATTATTAATTA